TCAAAGGACAAATAATAAATGAGCAAATAAATATTGTATCGGACGTACTCTTTGAGCCTCTAAAACTACTGTACGAGAAGAAAAATGACAACAACAAAATATTAAGGACAGACATGGAAGGGAATACACCAGTTGCGAAAACAAAGTGGATAAAAATCACGCCCGTTAAAAACGAGCCAAAACAATTCATCTACCTATTGAGCACCGCAAACACTGCAAAACTAAAAAGACGTACCTAACAAAAGAAAGAGGTAGTTAACAAGGAGTATAAATACGAGCAACCAACAAAAATTATGCAGAACGAAAAATGACACTGAAGATGGCACAACGGCGAAACCGGTATGTCTCCAAACCAAATTTGACAAGGGATGACGGAAATTCGTTCCAAAATACATTATTCATTTTTACTATACATTATGCATTATTTTCCTAAGTGTTGTTGATTTTTTTGTAATTTCATTTCATTTTTATACATTAAACGAATCGAAGATAACTTTTGAAAAAAAAATAATGCTTATTGTCAAGCTCCTGGTAACACTACTTTGTGAACTTCACTGTTTAGAAACAGCTGGTAGCAGTATTCGGACTTCCCTGCGGTTGGAGTAGATCCACTCCGGTTTTTAACGTTATTAAAATTTACTCTACTCTGCTTGTCTGAATACCTGCTCCGTCTTTTAACTGACGTTAACCCACTATTTAATAATCTTTTTTTAATACTATTTAATAATATATAATATAATATGGTTATCCATTGAACGCGTAAGTTCATCGTAACCGCGTAAATCTCGTAAATAAACGATTTTCCATACAACATTAAGGAAGTTTACGAGCTTTACATGGTTACGAGGCATTTACGTGTTTATATGAATTGCCTTAATAGGTATTTAATAATAGTGGTTTAGTCGCAATTGTATATGTGTACATATTTTTAAATGACGATTATTTAAAATTTGTTTCAAAAATGTTTATAGTATGTACGTCGTATTAAATTATAGTATTTACGTCGTTTTAATTGATATCAACACTTTTCAAATCGGTTGAGTAGCTTCCGAGATATTAAAAATATAACAAAATATAAAAGTTTAACCGTGTACCCTTTTATTTACTTTGTTCGCGCCAAATAATATTGGTATGGTTGAAATCGGAGTAAAATGTTCTATCTATCCGCATTTTTGGTTTTCTTATAGCTATACGGTTGGTATCTAGACTTGTTCCAATATCATTTTACAAAAGGTCTCATATTTACGTTTTATTTTATACCTTTATATTATTTCCGTAGTAGAGTTGGATTTTTAATTCACGAATCAAACATTGTAAGGCTATCTGCACACTTGTCGTCCAATCATAGTTGCGTTATCGTCTCGCCCTGAAATTTTGAGCCGAGCACATGCATTTCAAAGGAGATCTGCACACTTGTCGTTATCGGCTAGTTATCGGCAAATCGTAGAAGATGCAGAAACGGATAAGTACGGCACTGTCGTTTGCTAATCGTTGTGCACGCATTGTTTGTTTACATTTTATGGGGGAAAATTAGTGAAAAAGTTAATATTTGCATTAAAATTGTATAAAAATTAGTATTTTTTTGCATAAAATCTGTGGAAATTATTAAAAAGTGGATAATTGCATTAAAATTTAATAAATATGAGCGTTTTAACTATAAAATATGACGAAATTGTATTAAGTCTCTGTGTGCATACACAAAACACATTCCAGGAAAAGAAAAGAAGAGATATTACTGGAAAATTACGTCTAGAAATGTTGCAGCACAGTCTATATTTAAAAAATTGCAGGTTTTTGTAAATATTTCGCGAAAATATCAACCAAAAAAAACAGAAAATACCTGCTCCAAGTGAATTTTTAGACGCCAAATGAATTGAAATATCACGACCAAGTGTGCAGAAGTGTAATCGTCATGTAATCGTTGCTTCATGACGATAACTATGACTCAACTATGATTGGACGACCAATGAGCAGAAAGCCTAAGTTTTACATGAACAATCATGAAAAAATTCACGAGGGGCATTCACCTTAAGAAGGAAAAAGATTTGAGAAACCTCTCATGGAAACTTTATCTGAGTTGTGTGAAATCAGTTAGATGTATGAATTTTATGTTACATAATTAGGTAGATATATACCTATGAATATTTACCTAAATATGTAACATAATATTAATACATCTAAGTGATTTCACACAACTCAGATAAAGTTTCCATGAAAGGTTTCTCAAAGCTTTTTCCTTATTAAGGTGAATGCCCCTCATGAATTTTTTCATTATTGTTCATGTAAAACTTACAATGTTTGATACGTAAATTAAAAATCCAACTCAACTACGGAAATTTTGTTTTGTTCTTGTAACGAAGCCTTTCACCTAGTGTGGCTGTGTTAGTATGTGTGCGTATCCACATGTGAAAGCAGCTAGCTATAATTTCGATGTTCCTTGTACACACCATACAACACTAAAGGGGTGAAACTTCGCTAGCCCGGCGGTTCGATAAAGCAGTCCTAAGCGTGCGTTTACGTGTGCGTGATTGGGTGTGTGTGTGTGTGGTAGGACAACTTCAATGTGAGTAAGAACAGGAGAAATGAGTGACCACTTCGGCCAGGCGAAGTGCAATAAAACGGCACGGAAAGAGGCTGAAGTGAGTCAGAAGAAAGTTACGGTGCCGAGAAAGTGCAAGTGGACGCGAGTTTTGAAGTGTGAAAAAGAAATAAAAAAAAAAAGGTGCTTTGTTAAAGTTTTCTTGTAAGAAAATATGAAACGGTTCGCGCAAGTGCAACTAGCGGTTTTTTAGGTTCCGTGATGTTTGGATACCGTCAATTAAACGGGTTATAATTGAATTGTTAGGCTAAAAGTATTTGGAATTTGAGGTAGGTTTTGATGATAGCCACATTGAAATTATTTTAAACATAGGGGACTTAGTGTGAATTTTCATATGCATGTACATACACATGTGCATATAAGTTCTAATGTACACTGCGGGGAAAATCTCTAGTTCTGAACTGGTGCGCTTCTAGTACATTTAGACCCAGTACTGGTTCGCGATAAATCTCTTTTGCATGCAAGCAACTGGCGAATTTAACATGGCGATGTCCTAGGAAGTGTCAATTGCCCCCCGCTGCATCCCTTTTTCGATAGTTCCGAACTAGTCCTAAATTCTATAGTTCCGAACCAGTTCTAAAATCGACAGACGAAAGAAAAAAGTATCATGATTTTTCAATCTTTTTGGTTCTTCCGTGTGTGCGATTTTAAGTTATTTTGTAAGGAACGTGTTTTCAATTTGAAATTAAATTTGTATGAATGATTGTAAGAAATGTACGTTTACATACCTTTAGCTGTAGCTGAGTTTGCAGAGGTGCTCGCAGTTATTTCTTAGATTCCAGACGGTCGCAATATGTTGCAATGTTAACACAAACTTTAGTTTTGTATTTGCGAGCTATGAAAAAGCATCTGCGAAGCGCAGAATAGAAGCGTATTTGAACGAAAAAGCCGCCGAAAACATATCTATGTAAAGTAAACAAGCCCCCGCTGCATCCCTTATTCGATAGTTCCGAACTTGTTCTAAATTCGACTAAGAAGATCTAGTCCGTTCTGCATCCCTTTTTCTATAGTTCCGAACCATTTCTAAATTCGTCACTTTAGATATCGATTTCTAGTGAAAAAAACTGAAAAAATTAGTATTTTAAAAGTACCACTTTTCGCCGATTTCGGACTGGAGGAGATCTAGTTCATATCGGACTAGTTCCTTTTTGGTGACAAAGACCTAGTACGGAACTAGAAATTTGATTCACTAGTAAGCGGTTTCCCTGCAGGGTATGTACGCACCGAACTGTGTATACAAAAGTATATACATATGTACATATGTATGCATAGCAAGGCCAGTGCAGATGGAGATTAATGCTAAGAAAAGTGCCTAAAAAAAATTTAGCAATGACAAATGTACTTAAGACTTCTTTAATATCTTCCAGGTCGCCGGTACGGACGTGCAAAAGGACCTCAGTAGAAAAAGTATTCAAATACTTAAGTGCCCCCGACACATAGCACATCCACGAGCACTACTTGCCACACCGCGAGCAAGAGGCACCGATAGCTACGACGATAACGTCGAAGAATTTAGCGAAGTACTCCACACATCCATATGTACATGCAACATTTGCTGGGAAAACAACAAGTATTTACAAGGGAGTACAGATATAAATACCCACACCTACATACATACACATACGTAAGGAGATACTTCGCCATCACATCCGCAAGCTACAAAATACAGGAAAAAAAGGGCAAAAAGAACAATAGAATAGGGGTGGGAGCGGGTCAACGGCCGCTGCACAAAATTCGAACACTTGGAAGCTGGATGTACATAGAGTGAGGGAAGCTGAAAAAGGGAAGAGCAGACTAGAACTCACCGGGAACAAGTAAGCTGAACTGGGGAGAGTGGGCTGAATTGCAGTGAGCGAACATTCGCCAGCACCAGCGACGTACATACATACATCGTTGCGCGGTCAGCAACGGCGATATCGCCCATTGAAAGTCGATAGCAACCGCCCCGCCGCGACCAGCAGCGCAGCAGAACCGACGACGTCACCATTGCTTTTGGTTATTGTTGTTTTTCGCAATTTTTTTTTAGAAACCATTTTTTTCCAGTAATTTGCACTTTGTTTAATTTGGATTTGTAACTTTAATGCTTAATGAAAACTTGCAACTGTGTGCTTAGTTTCTTCTTTTAATGCCGGTTTTGCTTATTTACTTTGTTGCCTTATTTTACCTCTTATCACACCATTCGTAATTTCATTTCGCACTTGATTTATATTTCGTACTAGCAATATAGTGTCGTTTTTTTTTCAATATACGTATAGTCGGATAATTATATTTCTTATTTTTTTTTTGCAATCCAGGTGAATATTTCTGCTTTTTAATGTAATTTACGCAAATCTTATAACTTAATTGTCGGAAAACGTACTGCACGTGTGACTCGCTCGCTGCCCGCAAACACGAGCGAGTGGCCAAAGCAACAAGTAGCGCAGGTCGTCAGACCTCAGCTGGCCGCTAATACCTATATATCTATGTATGTACATGTATGTCGATTTCCAGCCCTTTTCAGCGTTCTCGCTAAATGTTGGTACCAACATCGTGGGAATGCTAGAGGTGAGTGAGAAGATAATTTAATACACACCTACTTACGTACATATATACATATATATACATACGTATATAATGTATATATTTTGTTTTGGTTACTGCGTTCCATAGTGCTAAATATTCGCGGCTATTCTTCTTTTGCATATTCATACGGAAGTACATATGCGTATGTTCATTAAAGCACTAGAAATATTGAAATAGGGGCATTCACATAAGCATATTAAATCAAGAAAATAGAAGAGAAATTGCAATTGACTAAGTTCTGAAGTGTTTATCCCGCGTTTGAAGTCATTTTTAATTTAGTTAAATATTATTTTTAATTGTTTATTTATTCCAACCCGCTTTATTAGCATAGCGAACTTGTATTTTTTTTCCTCAATCCGGCTTATTTTGTGATTAATGAAATGGTGTTTATGATTGGATTTTGCGTTTATACATATCTGCACATATATCAATCTTTTTAAGTTTTTTGAGAATTTTTGTAATTAGCCTAACTTTATTGAGAGTTTTGCCATATGAATTTTGATAGGCGAAATCAATTGTTTTTGAATTCTTGAATTTCCTTAGATGTAATAGAGTAGGTAGACATAAGATTAAAGATTTTATTGTGAATATTTAGGAATAAATCGTAACTATAAAATAAAAACAAGAGGAGAGTCAATAAATTCACCTGTAATTTTATTGCTATCCAGTTGAGAGGTTAAAGAGTCCTAAAATGGGATGGTAAACCTATAGAGTTTGGTATGGGTGTTACACTCAGGCCTAAGAGGGGACGTGAGGGCATTGACAGATTGACAGATTGACAGGACAGGTACAGGACTGATGAATTAGTGGACAGACATACAAGGTCAGGACTAGGGGGCGTTGCCACTTTAATAGGAGTCGACGCAACGCCCATGCGACGCACGCAGAGGGGGTGGGACGACTCCACCTGACTGGACAGGCCTTCTTCTTTAGCTATCACGTTTTTTTTTTGTTTATGTCATTTTGAGTTCTTTTTCTCACTGCAAAGTACAAACAGGCATAATTTTTTTTGTTTATGTAGGAGTAGGTAAGGTGCGCGGAAATAACGCCCACCGTACGGCGAGCTAGCCTGGGCCCGCAACCATGCCTGTAAACCGCCACGCCTTTGCCAACAGTCATCCCACATAACAATGGCACCCAACGTAATAGCCCAATAGTTTTTTCTGTATTTTCCCATGGTTCTCACTTATACTCTTAACTCTTTTTCTTCTTCTATTACTTTCCCCGCTACCTTCTTCTTAGCTTCTTTTTTTCTATTTCTGACCTACTATCGGACGAGTCAGGGTCACGAAGGCAACGTCACTTTCGGCTACCGGAAGTGACTAGTGCTTGAGTGACTAACCTGGGGGGAGTGAACATCACAACTTCGAAGTGCCTTCATTGTTGTTCAACACACTGATGAAGTGGGATTCGAAGTTGTGGTGTCGCTATTAGTTTGGTTGGTTAATTTAGTGAAGACAAGCTTTGAGCTACCTAGTATGCGATCCAGCATCGCGTACTAGTGAGGTTCATAGGAGTCTTCACAGGGGGTAATGGGGGTGAGTGTGGCATCCACCGTTGGAGCTACGGCACTGGCGGTTGACATGCCACACTAGATTGAAGAGTAGGTAGGGGTTAGGTGACTTCAACACAGGACAAATGACACACGGATTTTACGCTCTCGCTATGACCTCGCTCAGTGTAACACCACCCACACACCAAAACCATTAATTATTTTATAGCAACAAAAAAAAAATAAAAATAAATATTTACATATACTTGTGATAAAGAAAGTATACGTAAGGAAAAAAAGGAAAAAACTGAAATAAATAGCCTATTGGTTCACTAACCTGAAACAAATATCGGCGTTTTTTAAATTTTATTTATTTTGTTATTGTTCATATTTCTCCTCATTATTAATTTTTTATGTTTAGTTGTATTTTAAGATTACATGAATATTATTCTTGCTTTTATAAACATATTTGGTATTCCTTATTTTTCAACTTTTACATACACACGTATATTTTTTCTTGCATTTTTTTTTTTTGTTTTGGGATTTTTCAATTTATTAAGGAATTCTTTTTATTAGATCTTTAAAGTTTTGAATTGTAAATTTGGATCGCGTTTTCTTTCAAAATTTTCGAAGGCTTGAAGTAGTAATCTTGAATCTTATTCGTGGTAATTCTCAGAAGAGTGGATTAATTTTTTTTTCAGCTTTTATGATCATAGTGTTAGATTTTAAATTCTCGATCCTAATTTGCCAATAATTTTTATTTGAATTATTCAATTAAATTTATATTATTTCTTTTAAATTCAATTTCAATCCAATTTGTGATTGGATTTACATAAATATCTTGCTGATTTTGAGATTTGAACTTTTATTTTCGTTACTTTGAAGTGTTAGACTTATCTTGATTTTTTTTAAGTTCTAGAGTTTCAATATATAATTTTTTTTGTAAGTTTCCAAATTTTGCTCACAGCTTTTGAATTTACAGGGTTTGGATTTGAAATTATTGAGATTTTGGATTTGGAGCTTTAAATTTTGAAATTTGAATTTTCGTGAGTTGATGGAAGAACAAGAGAGCGAAGAGAGAGTGATTTCAGGAGGACTAGGTCTGTTTGATTCGAACCGCAGGGTTACTAGAAGCGTAGCGAGAGCCCTTGAGAATCAAGTGGTTGGTTCTTTATTCACTCAAATTGATACTGGCATTCCACATCCGGTGGACTTTCTCCTCACCGACTACTTGAATAGGTGTACAGCGCGAATTTTTGGAGCTGCCAGCCAGGAGCCACGTCAACCAGCTATAAGGGTGACTGACGAAATAAATTTGAGCACGACTGATAATAGTTTAACTTTCTCGAAGAAAATCGAAGAGCTTTGTCAGATGTCGGAAGAGGAGAATTCGGGGGTAAACATGCCACAAGGCGATCAAAGACCAGGAGGCTCAAAGTCGCAAAGTGGTGGGCCGAGTGGGCTGAGCCGTATGATGGCGCAACAAAACGACATGATGGCGGAATGTATGAACGAGGTCCGCCACATGAGAGACAATGTTGCTAGCCCCAACAATAGGGTGGCAGAAGTAGAGACGTCGGTGCGAGCCCCTGAGAATGCGCCAACCATGGCATCGACACCCGAAGCAACAAGGCAAAACCCGACAGCGGACCAACTGGGTGCAGGAAAAGGGTCCATTCATGATGGCAACCCGCGGTCAAGCAATGAATCAAGGGCTTGGAAAAAGGTAGACCTAGAAAAATGGCATATTAAGTTTGACGGTACATCGAAGGGTATAACAGTGTTTACTGATTTCCACTGCTTGGTCACCGGGAGCGCCCTGAAGTGGTACTGGCAAGTGCTCGAAGACCATGCCGAAGATCCGGACTTCGGGTACGTTGAGCTTAAAGCCGAGTTGCTGGGCCACTTCAGGACTGCTGAGTCGGATTATGAGGTGATCCGAGAGATTATGGAGAGGAAGCAGACTCCGCAGGAAACCTTTGAGGAGTTTTATAGTGACGTACATAATTTAACCTTCCGTCTAAAGAAAAAGATCCCGGAGCACGAACTAGTGGGAATCATTAGAGGGAATCTGAAGCCATATTTGGCGAATTTAACTTTTGCGTCCCGAATGACTACTCTCGCAGAGCTGAAAGCAGAATGTAAGCGCGCTGAGAAAGGAATCAAAGAAAGTAGAAACAGGCCAAAAGCAGTGAACGAATTAGAATTTGTAGAACATGATAGATGAGAAGATAGAACAGAAGGTAGAGAATAAGAGTGTGGAAGCAATGGGTAGGACTCAGTATTGTAAACCCCAACAGGCAGTGTCAGTCCCCAACAAAGTGTCCTCGTCCGTAAATCCAAATGTCCAAAAGCCCACGATCCATTCGTTTTGTCCGTCCCCTTTTCACCTTATGTTGTGTTTTGCGTGTGGCTTACCTGTTGACCACTATGTAAAAAACCCACTTGACGCCCAGAAGGAAGGTAAATGTAAGTCCAAGTTCCGCAATATGGCCTGTTTTGCGTGTGGTGGTGATTCGTCCTTTTGTGTATACAAACCAAACCCAGGAAACCCGAAGCTGGCGGAGATCGCCGGGAACTCTTGTCAGCAGTAGGATCTCCCGGAGATAACCCAGTGATTAGCCCATTGAGCATTTTAAAGAGAGAAGTAGGTAGTGGGGCAGTTAAGGATGGGTCGAGATCAGTAGAACATAGGACAACCAAGAGTCTACACACTAGGAAATTAGAATAGGAAGAAGCGCGTAGACGCATATTTTGCGAAGAAGTGACCATGAGGAAAAAGAATAGGAATTATGAGAAAATTAGGAAAATGAGAGAGAGAAAGAAAAATCTTAATAGGATTTGTAGGAAAATTATATCGACGGTAGTGACATTAAAGGGCGATAACCGATTCTTCGCGAAAACAAAGATAGGCGGGCAGGATGTGGTAGCCCTCTTAGACTCAGGAGCAGGTGCCAGCTGTTTGGGAAAGAACGCGGAAAAACTCCTCGAAGGACAGGAACACCTCATAATGCCGATTAAAGGCCAAAATATTCGTACGGCGAATGGAGGGGAGACAGCGGTAGTAGGAGTTGTTACACTGCCCGTTCTCTGGAATGATACGAATAGGGACCTTGACTTTTTGATAGTACCAGGACTACAGCAGGAAGCTTATATTGGCGTCGACTTCTGGCAGGCATTTGGTATGAGTGTTGTGAGCAAGGGTGTGACTACGAGTGTGAACAATGCTGTTATTGAAGAGGTAATACCCGCTGAGGGTGACCTAACATTTGACGCGGTACAGCATAACTTGGCCCATGACCAGAGTGTGGTCAAGGGTCAAGGCCCAATATCCCTCCTTTGCGGTACTAGGGTTAGGTAAGACGGATAAAGAGGAACACATAATAGAGGTCACCAACGAAAATCTCCCGGTGAAGCAAAGGCATTACCCTATCTCGCCCGCAATCCAGAAACTCGTATATGCAGAACTAGACAGGATGTTGGAGATGGGCGTGATAGAGGAGAGTAATAGCAGCTGGAATTCTCCTGTTTCGCTCGTGGTGAAGGGTACAAAGAATCGGCTTGGCTTAGATGCGCGAAAGGTAAATGAGCGAACAGTAGAAGATGCGTACCCACTCTCCCATATTGACGGCATCTTAAGCAGATTGCAAAACACTCGTTTTATTTCCGCAATTGATCTGAAAGACGCGTTCTGGCAAATACCCTTAAAGGAAAAATCGAGAGAGAAAACTGCCTTTACCGTACCTGGGAGACCTCTTTATCACTTTACCGTCATGCCATTTGGGTGGCGCAACGCTGCACTACGTATGTGTAGACTTATGGACAAGGTTATACCCGCTTCTTTACGTGAGTCCGTGTTCGTGTATCTAGATGATTTACAGTATATTTTGCTTAGCTGCACATCCTTCTTTGCACGAAAAACTTGTGCACGTAACCGAAAAAGGCACTTAAGCGAATTTTCTTTACTACTTCAATGAGGAAGGTATCCGAATCCCTATGAAACCAAATATTGGCGGAGCACTTACCATGTAGAAATTACTGCAAGCGAAATTTTTACCGAATGTTATCTAATTATCTATATAACTACGTAAGTTGATAACCATTTTCGTTGTTCTGCGAGATGAGCAAAATAAAGTAAAGGTTGTAAAATTACGTAATGTAGGGCCAGTGCAGGTAAACGTAATACTTTCATTGATAATTGATACTAGTCGCACAATTTTTAAGGCAGGTATCGCCAATGTGCAGGTATGTTGAATGCATCTATCGGAGCAGTTTCCTTATAAATGTTAAAAATAATGCTTTTGATGCGCATTTTGGGGTAGGTATCTTAAATGTGCACTTAAGCATAGAGGCAGCAAAGCAAAATATACTGTACTTGTTTGTTCTGAAGACTTTTCGTCCCATCTGCCGTTGTTAGAGAAAGTAGCTAGGTGTCTTCGTGAAGCGAAATTGACAATAAACGTTGAAAAGAGTAAGTTTTGTATTATCTTTGTAAGCTTTTGATCGAGTTTTTGTTATATGTTGGTATTGTTGTAGGCTGGTCGATCTACTTCTCCATGTGCAAGAAAAATACTTTTTTCTCCACTTCTTTGCCCAACGTTTCGCTAACTACCTTAGCATCATCAGGGGCGATTCTTTATTATAAATATCAACAAAAAACAGAGGAAAACAAGATTATTTAAATAGAAATTATGAGTTTTATGTACAAATAAAAATTAAAGATTGGTAAACAAAAATAACACAATCACAGGTTTTTAAACTTATTTTTTTACCGCATGACTTACATGTAAACTTAGGTTAAGTTGGTTTCACATCAATGCACATACATGTAAAAGCATTGAAAAACATATAAAACATATAAAAAACACAAAAAAAACGTTAAATACATTGAAAAACATAAAGTATTGCTACCATCCATCCGTGGTAATTTCGTCAAACTAAACTAAACTATTCGCTACAAACATAACATGTAAGCAGCCGCGATATCGTCCGTGTCCTCCTTCTTGTTGATTGTTTTTTCCCTTTTCTGTAGTATACGTAAACTCTCTATTGTGTATCTTGCCCGTTCCCTCTTCTCCTTGTCCAATATTTTAACGTTAGCTAGATCAGCCGTATGGCCACTGGTAAGTACGTGTTGTGCTAATGCTGTGCTGTTCTTCTTTTTGTTTATGTCGGCTTCGTGCTCGGAAAGGCGAACGCCTAATGCTCGCTTAGTTGTCCCTATGTAAACTTTGTTGCAGTTTTCGTTTTC